TCTCTCACTCTCACTCACTCACTCACTCACTCTCTCACACACACACACACACACACACACACACACACACACACACACACACACACACACACACACACACACACACACACACACACACACACACACAAGCACACACACATATACACACACACACACACACACACACACATGCTCTCACACACACACACACACACACACACACACACACACACACACAAGAACACACACATATATTTTAATTTGCTACCTTGATCATGGAGACTTAGCAATTCAGTGACTTGTGTTGAACATCTTCCCCCAGGAGATAAATGTATACGTTTTTATTAACATACATTTAGCAATACCTCATGCGTAAACAAGTAGATAATTATATAAATATTTCAAAAATAATTTGTGAAAATGTAATAAACAATGTAAGGACAAAGAATGTAATATTTACAACAATATGATACAAAAATAATTTAAACTCTTTAATTAAATATCAATTGTAAATTATTATTATTATTAATTAATTCTTTATTTTCATTTGACTTTAGGGCGTTTCGTATATGTTTCTCTAATATTCTGAGAACGCATGTTTTTTTATTGTTGGCTCAGGTGTAATGGATAACATTAGAGATGGCTGACACGTAATGGAACAGAACCATTGTTGATTTTAGTACGGTAGTTACAATGGTGCTTTACTAATATTCCAAAATGTCTGCCATAGTGAAAGTCTACACATAATACAGTATGTTCTTTTTGCAAAGTCACAGATTGAGACAGTGCTGGGTGTGTCCTATATTATTTTCTGTTGTTTTATACCTCCATCTAGTGACCAAACGTAACAAGAGGGAGCTCGGATGCAACTTGGAGTGTAAATATCTGAACTCTGACGACTACAAAGACCTGTTGTGGACGACCTTATCTGAATTCCCAGGTAAATATCGGTTTATTATTCGTGTCTTCACAAAGTTCATTATAATTTTTATGTTGTCAAAATATTTTTTGTTAATTATGGTGGCATGTTTTAGATTTAAATCTATTAAATAATCATAAATACTGTATCATCTACACAAATAACTATACAGTGTATTGTATGTATACTGGATGATTATCTAGTAAATGATGCTATAGTTACATGACATCTTGCTTTTATAAAGATCATCATTTTAATGTAGTTATTACACCTGTAACTAAATGACTTCAGGGGATTTCAGGGACTTAGTAAATGATCATATCAAAATAATGTTAATAGAGCTTATTTTAAAGAGGACACTTTTGCAAAGTGTTAATAATGTAGGTTTGCCAGAGGCCCTGGCATGGCAGCTCCCTGACAAAACTACTGACTTATCTAGATCAAAAGGAGCACTCATTAACATTTTAAGTTTCTCCTCTGTTACTCCTGCTATGACATTTCAAAATGTCATATTAATTAAGCATAATCGCTGTAATTACTGCACTGTAAAATATGCATAGCATATTATATTTTTCACACCTGACATCTTGCAATGTCCCACAGGACTTCTAGTGACACTGTGGGCTATCGATCGATTAGGAAGGAGGAAGACCATGGCGTTGTGTTTCTTCGTCTTCTCTATGTGCATCATTCCACTCTATGGCTGTGTTGGGAGGTAAGCGGGATACTGAGGAGAATCTTAAACGAAAACATTGTGGATCCACCATTTATTCAGCATTACTGGTTCCTGTGTTGCAGAACATCCATGACAGTTTTGATATTCATCGCCAGAGCTTTCATCGCAGGAGGATTTCAAGCTGCGTATGTGTACACTCCAGAGGTAAGATATCGCACCAGAGTGCAGTTTATTTAGCTTGCATTGTGCAAAATGAAAACATTTACTAATGGAGCTCAGATCAAATCAATAACGGGGTCGATGGAGCATCAGGGCAGCCTAATTAGTCTTTTCTGAAACTCTGCAGGTGTACCCAACAGCGACCAGGGCTTTAGGTCTTGGAATGAGCAGTGGGATGGCCAGAGTCGGTGCCCTCATTACACCTTTTGTTGCACAGGTACCAGTATTTTTTGAACTTATTCAAACACATCACAACACATGAAAATTGCTCATGTACCTGGGCTTCATCCTTCAGGTAATGTTGGAGTCTTCTGTGCACCTGGCTCTGTCCGTGTACTGCTGCTGCTGCCTGCTCGCCGCCATCGCCTCCTGTGCACTGCCAATAGAGACCACAGGCCGCGGCTTACAGGAGTCCACTCACCGCGAGTGGGGCCAGGAGATGGTGGGCCAGGAGATGGTGGGCCGGGAGATGGTCGGCCGGGCCCCCTCCCAAAGCTCAGGGGAACACCCTCCTTCAAGCTCAGGCTCCCAAGGATGAGGACTTGTTTGCTGGAGCACAACTGGGAGAGGCAAGCACAGTGAGGGAAAGAGGCGAGGAGAGGCCAAAAAGCTCAACCAGCTTTCGGTGTCCATCTCCAGTCCCATGTTATGACTCTTCAGTTTAGGCACTACGGTGGCTTCAAAGGGCCAGGCAGCACAAGGAAATATGTTTTATTATATAGTCTTCAACTACCATTGCTGTCACAATTTTGCCACTGGATAACTGCACAAGGGGCTACTGGATGGAACAAATGACCTACACCAGGGAAAAATTGAGAACAATAAAAGGTGGACAACATGTGAACAATTCATGAGATAATTCAAATACTTTACATAAAGTATTGCTTTTCTAATTCAAGAGAAGTAAAGGTGAATAAAGGACACAAAAGTGATAGCTTCCATCAACCATCTTCTTTTGAAAGAGCCTTGAAGAATATCTATTTGAGTTTGAGAGACCTTCTCTTAACCTTCTTTTAGCATACCAGGCACAGGTGCATAGATAAAAGAGACCAACATATTGTGAACAAAATTGTCAGTTAAAAAACTCAAGCTTTATAAAATGTACATTACTGAAGTGAGGTACACTCCTGCATCATTAAGTCAACAGACAATACGATAAGGTCTGGGGAACCTTAATTCAAAAATAAATTGTGTAAAGGCAGTAAAAGGACACACAGTAAGTCACTGTGTTAAACCTTGTGCTAAATATGTTCTTTATTTGGTGTCAGTATTATTTCACATTTTAACATGGATGATGTTTGTTGTCAGCTGAAGAAACAAGTATCATTCTGAGGCCATATTAGAATCAACAACCTTATAAATCTGCCAAAGCCTTCACCATAGCATATTTACATCATACAGTGAACGATATTTCATAAATATAACAACTGGAACAAGTCCACAGATCCTGACCTGCATCTGAGACAATTGTAAGTTAATGTTGAAGTCAATCTAAAAAGTATTTTCATCGCTCAAAGTAACACAATTTTAAAAAATGCCATGAACATGAGTATATGGTGTCCTGTCTATAAATGCAGCGTCTCTTGCTCTACTCGACTCGAGGCTTTGCACACATAGACCTACACATGTATGTATGTACACATCCATTAACGGGATGTTACACTTTGTCTTTCTGTAAATAATGTATATGTATCAATACCTGTTTTAGTTGTTGTCTTTGCTTTTGTTTGTAACAAAGGTGATGTGGAGACTGACTTGTCAGAGTGACATACTGTGCAAAGATTTGTGTAAAAAAAAGGTTACAGGAACTAGTACAGGCCCAGCCAGCTGACTCTTTACCTGTTGGAGATATAGTGCTGTATTAAGTGTCTGTGTGCACAGATTCTTGTCGATGCACTGGATGTAAATGTGTATGATACTATAGTAAATAATCTTTCAAAAAGAGCTGTGTATTTATGTTGTTATTTATTAATAAAAGTGATTTTATCAGTTAGACATTTTTCTACATTACATTTAATGAGAACATTCTAGAATTTATTTTTAAGCTATATACTTCTTTAAATGAACATATGCATCTATGGATTTATCTATGATTAGATGTGAATCATTTAATTGGCGTCTACTCTTTAGAGTTACATACAAGTTACAAAAATGAGTTGTATTTATGTAATGTAAGTACCCCAAAGGTATGGAAATTGAAAATCTGTTTGCTAAAATGCTGGTTATAGAAAATAACAGTTTTTGGATTATGAGGCACAAGGAACTGACATTAAAATTCGAAGTGCACCTCAATCAATCAATCAATCAATCAATCAATCAATCAATCAATCAATCATGCAGCTGCACAGAAATTTACAAGCGAGCTTTTGGACCTTTCCCTTTTTGTTCCACAATCTGACCGAAGAGTCTCGCTGCCTCTTGGGCGCAGCCCCGGTGAATGGTGAGTCCAAAACCTCCATGTCCGTAGTTGTGTATCACCTGAAAGAGAGGCACGATATTTTAGAAGTTGGATGAACAAAAATTAATATTAAAAGTAATGTAAATCTTTTCAAAATACAACTGAGCTGTTTACCTCTATTGCAGCTGCTCCGGACTGTATGGTCTCCCTCTCCAATCGGACTTTGCTGCGAACAGGCCTGAGGCCGGCCCAGTCCTCCACTATCCTGGCATGCTGAGGTAAGTAACAACAACAACACATAATCTCATAAACGAATTGTCCATTGTAACTATCAAGTGTTCTAAATATATCAAATGTTAAATACTTTACCACTACTGAAGACTTACTGTTAAACAGAAAGCCTTTTTATGGGCTTTAGACAAACAACATTTTCACATCACCTTACCTTGAGACTTGGCTCGAGCTGACAAGCGCTTTCCCAGATGTACTTATGGTCCATAGAATTGTTCTTTTCACTCCAGTTCCCTAACTGTAAAATCCCACCGACTGTCACGAGTCGACTCCTGCAGACACAGAGATGCAACTGTCTTTAATATACAAAAACACTGTAATCTTGTATGATCTGATTAAAACAGCAAGTGCACAACACAGGATAAGCCCTGCAAACGTTTGCCTGCAGCATGCTTTTTCTGTATGAAACTGTACTTCCACATTACTATCACTCAAACACTAATGGAGAGGCTTGTTCCTACAGTTCAGTGCTAATGAGTGTTTTGTGTCACCCTGGAATGATGTATGGTGAATTGTAGACTCCTTTTTTTAAATTGTGGGTGAGAATCCAATGCTTCAGCCACGGCGCTTCGACCTGAAAAACAAAGATATAATATCAAGGTTCAACCACAACTTCAATGTCGCTTTTATAGCTGGTTATATAGACAGACATTTGAACCCGTCAGGCCTCACCTTCACGATCTGCCCCCGCCCGGGTTTGAGCTCAGGGTCCGGCTGGAGATCTCCTGATCTCATCCCACTGCAGTTTATTATCACGTCTGCCCCAGACTCAGCCAGCTTAATGAAAAGAACAGAGCATAAAGCATGAAAAAGAGAAGTGTTAACATACTCACAGTATTTCTGTAAGAAGTGAAACAATAATCGGCTGTTACAATATTACAGACTCAGTATAAAAAAGTACTATACATGAAACAGAAAATCAAACAGAAAATGTGTGTATCATTAATATTGAAAGCTTCCACTAACCTCCTTAAAGGAATCTATTTTTCTTTGGTAAAATGTCACTCCCCTTTTTTGCAACCTAAGAATAACAGAAACTAGATGTTAATTAAGAACAGCTGAAAAAAAATACTTTTGGACTCCTGATCAACTGAAAATAATCAAGATTAGAACCAGCTATCCTGGATAATGATATTACTAATTTGCAATTCATTACACAGTATACAAGTAAATGTGTGTTGAGCACAATTCAGTGTCAGGTCTTACATTTTTTTTAAATGACCATGTCATTGAAACTCAGCAGCTGTGTAAACTTTCCTTATTTCCCAGCCAGCACACAGCATAATAAAATCTGCCTTTAGTTAGTGATCACTGACAGATCACTACTTTTTACTTTGCATTGTGTAATTATTTGTTGTTTAGTATACGATTAACCACTACATATGATTAACACAGAATTTAGAAAACAATAAACCAAAAAAAGGACAGAACAGCTCAACTGAGACCATGTGTTGAACATTTAAGAGTAGATAAAATTAGATTCAGCCATGGGGGGATGTTACAAACTAAATGTAATATAACATTTATGTAACAAGCTATAAGAGGCTTCCCTTCTTCTTTTTGATTACGTAAGAAATGTAGTTGTAAGCAAGTGCTTTACTGACTTCAACTCAAGACTGTAAGTAAAGTTCTGTTCAAATACAATACTGATACAACAAGGAAAATAACTTATTTCAAGAGATTAAAAACAAATCACTCACCAATCCATCAGCCAAGGTAAGTATGTTTTACCTTCCAGCATGAGAGCAGTGTTGAACCACCCATGACTGCACATGTTAGAAGAGACATAGTAAAAAATATGCTTTTCTTTTATAGGGAACCATGCAATATATTTGTTATATAAGATCGAAGCAAATAGATCATCAATGATGCGCCTGGGAATATGAAGTATTTAAGTTGCATGTAATAGCAAGGCAGAAACTAACTATCTCTTTGCATCTCTGCTTTGTGTTCTTTCAGTGTTTTGCTTGTTATGTCTGTTTCAGCAACAAAACCTACTTGTATCCGGGAAACATCTGCAGTTCTCGCTCTGTGAGCTGTCTGAAGCCTAGGACGATATCTTTAAATGAGGGATCCTGCAATCAGAAAGCAGTACAGATCACATCACTTATGTTCTGGCTGTTTTAAATTTTGTCACAATACAGACTCCCAATCAAGCCCTGTCTCTGAGTTTAAGTCTGACCCATGGTGAGGCCTCTCTATTATTTGTGGAAAACAAAAGCAGAGAAGCTGAACAAAGCTCTACTGTTAGTGAGGCTAAATACTAATTACTGTGTTTATGCTATAGCACTGGTATGTAATTCATTTATGAACAAGTTATATAAGGTTGCATTTTAACTATATCTACAACTGCCTTTGTTCTTGGTTGTAAAATCCAAAACAAGGTCAAATCTTATCTTTGAGGACAGATTGACAGGTTTTTTTTTAAAAACAGAGCACTACTCACTGGGGCTGGTTCAGTGCAGAGGTTGTAGCCAGATTGAAGGAATACACCCATTTGAATGGAGTCTGGCGATCTGAGGCAGCTCAGCAAGTAGTCAAATGTTTCCTTATTCCATTTTCTAAATGTGAGGAAAAAATGTATGTATAAAATATTGGCCATTTTCTGCAGATACAATGGAGCATCAAACGAGAGTTAATACACTTACGTCTCCTGGACATTGCCTTTATCGTACAGGTAGGGCTGCCACAAGCCAGCAGCTCCATCGCTCGTGGTCAGAGGAGTGAAACAGTCTGCATACACCTCGATGCTCAGTGGACTGACGATGGAGTGAAACTGCTCGTAGATGCTCTGAGCCGCTGACAGGCCGATGACTCCAGCTCCAATCACTGCCACCCGCATTTCTGGATTAACATCAGACACAGCATGTTACCTCTGAAGCTTACTCGCACACTAAGGCCTCCTTTATGTAAACAAGACAACATCTTCTTGGAAGACAATCATATATCTTTAACACACTAGACTGGTTTTCAATGGATATACAATTCTTTTATTTCTATATCATTAAACAATGCATTATTTAAAATATGTATAGATATCTGGTAGGAGGCTAGTAGGATTATAGATCTATTGAGTTTACCAAGTTAGAAATTAGACTTGATAAAATCGACATAATACACATTACCCACTTTGCGAACCCATTAGACAAATCATACTACAACAGGGTTGGTTGAATCCTGCACTAAATCTGAGTTAAACTTTAACAGTTGATAATAGGAGAGTAGTATATTATATAACAACATAGCAGGCAGCATGTCGGATAAATACATCTTAGTTTAGCGACGCAGCATCGCTGAGGTGGCAAACTGAAGACTGGCTGCATAACAGAACAGACATTATACACGATTCAACAACAACTGCATTTATATGATTTCCGAAAAGTGTTGATTTACCTTCAGATTTGTTTTCGCACTGCAGGAGTTGTTGAAGTCTTTCCCAACTCTCACAACCCCGACTCACCCTCTGGTCAAGCCTGCAGCTGTCATATATGGGAGAGGGGCGGAGACATGTGTCTGTGTTTCGAAGTTCAACTATCTAACCACGAATATAAATCCTTGGACATGCACATATTAAGACATTGTTTCCTCTCCGTTTCTATGTGAATGTAAATATGCTGGCATTGTTATATCATGAATGGAGTTCCAGGAGTTAGGGATTATGATATTAATTATTAAGTTTCAAACTATTTGAATACCTTAGTTGTAACTATTGAGTAACAAGTGGAGGGCATGCATTTCCCATGGTTTTTCATGCATAGTATATTGCTTAGTCAGACAAGTAAAACACATACCCCCCTTCTTATTATGTAAGAAATGATCAATACGACTGCAATGAAAAACACCACAGTACTCATAGTAGTCCCAATAATATTCTCCTGATATACCACAGGCCTACCTCTTTATTCTCTTAAATGCAGGTGTTTACAAGCCTAGAGTGAAACAAGAGTGCCACATTTGCATCTTATTTTCCATACATTTTGCATTCCATCCTTTTTTTAAATGTCTGTTAACTGTTTACCTTTATTGTAAATCACTTTTTGCTGCATCTTTTGTATGGTTGGGATCAGGGTGGGATAGAAAATAAAGTCTATAATAATAATAATAATAATAATAATTGTTGTATTAATAATATTGCTTTCTTTTTTTAAATACTACTTACATGTCTGTCTCTAATACCTTGTCTTATAGCATTGTAAGCCCTATATGGAGCACTTTGAATAAGCTTGGGTATACAAATGAACTTCATATAACTTTTGTTGTTGATACTATACAGTGCACAGTGCCATAAGAATGGCCGGGGCCTTGAAGGCAGCACTTCCTGCACAGACAGCCCTGCCTGCAGGATAGTTCCTCTCCTCAGCTGGATGTATCGTTAGCTCCGCAGCTAGCAGCTCTCCAGGCCCAGCGGCCGGCCGGTGCTTCCTCATCTTCCAGCCATGGCGTTGGTTACTCTGCAGCGGTCCCCGACCCCCAGTGCCGCATCCACCGCCAGCACAGCGACCACCACCGCGGGGGAGGTGAGTCTGATCCCGGGTGAACAGAACCGTGGCTCCGGTGTGGGTAGGTGGACAGGCGGAGGATGAGCGGGATGATGCCGGAGAAGGGGCCCGCTGATTGGGGCTAAATTAGCACCGTTAGGTATCATGATGCTAGCTAGGTCTGTGGCTAGCAAGCAAACCTCTTCGTTAATGATACTCAGAAGCTGCTGGCCACCATTTATGCCAATACGGCGGGTAGATGTTCTCATTGTTAAATGCAATAACATTACTTAAAAAATATCCCTACACCTGTTAAATGTAGCGTTATTTGTTTAAAACTAGGCGAGTTTGACAAGTGCCTTATGAATGATTTAAGCTAACGTTAGCTGGATTTGATGTCTGGTTGACATTGAAATAACGTATTTTCCTCAACATTAATATAGCTATATCCAACAGTCTGTATGGCACACCATTAGCAGAACTATACGTGGTCACTGCAGTCTCAATACGGCTAAATTCATGTCCATTTACTAATATTAAATCTCAGATTTGTCTGTAAAAGTGTGGTGGCTTGATTCAACTTTATTCTCTTTAGCAGACAACACATCAGAGCCAGTCAGTCAACTACACACAGTGTTTCTATGTCAATTTCTAATTTGCTGCCTCCAATAAATATGGGGAAGTATGAGATTTCCAGTATGTAAAAAGCAAAAGGGAAAAGATATCTAACTTTAAGCTTTTCATATACCTCTTTATGGCAGTAAATAGTCCCAGTTTGATCTATTAGTTTACTGGGCAGTCACAGTTAGAAAAAGTGATTGTCCTTGCCTCAACTATAACCATTTAAAGATAACTTCCTCTGCTACTTTCATGTACAAGTATGTTCCTGGTCCTCACTGCCAGATGAGGGCGCTAACCACCAGCTTTAAACAGGAAAACTCGCCTTTTTCTGCTCTACATGACCAAATCAGAGGAAACAGATATGATATAACTGGGTTTATTTACAACCATCAATATTTGATCAATAGATGAAAACTTACATTTTCAAAGCATGTTCAAAACTGTGCAACATATTAAATGCCATACATAGTTATTATTAATTTGCAGTTAGATGGCTCCTAATAAAATAGTTTCATTAGCTTTATTGATATGACTTGGTTTCGTCTCTGCGCCTCTTTGTTTTTTCTGGAGCGTTTGGTGTAGTCCAGCAGTGTGTGAGGTGTGACAGATAAGGCTGCTGCTGCAGCTATGATGTCATCGGCGGG